ACCAAGGGTTGGGATGTGTACATTGTCATACTTCTGATGCTAAATGCTGAGGTCATGTAACTCAAGGTTTGCATGTTATGCTGTCATCAGAGGCTACATCTTTTATTAGTTAACACATATCACCTTTTTCCATCACAGTTTTTTATTTTGTAAGCACTAACACATTTATTTTACTGCCAAAGAATTGTGTTTCTTGTTATTATTTTTAAGTTCTTTCATTCGTCTGTGTCAGAAGCCATGGCTGAAAACTGCGAGATGCCTGATTTCAGGAAGAATCCCCAAGGTACAAAAGGGGAGGACACACTTGTGGTGTCAGGAAAAAGCTGTTTAGTTAGAGTCTTATCTTGGTGCCCTGCTGCCCTTTTTAAACAAATGTATTGGATTTTTGCACTTTATTGCTGCTTCATAGCCCAATCTCTGAAATAGACTTCTCTAATTTTGTGTGTGTAAGAGAGAGTTTACTTAACAAATGATCCCATATTGCCTTTAACAGGGAAGGTTGTTAACCTGGATTACTGTACACAAATAGAACATCACATGTGAACCACTCACAGCTCCCTAGCTCTTAACATCCTTTTTTCCTGCCTCTCCTTCCAGCAGTTTCATGAATCATGAGCTGGGCTGTGAGCACACAGTGGTGAATAAAACTCAGCATGCTCACTGTAAGTTGTGTGCATTCCTGAAATGTGCCACTCTGATGGAACAGGACTGTCCTGGGGAAGCAACGGGCACAGATTTTCCCCAGTGGAAATATCACTTGTAAAGTATCTAATTTAATTGTATTGCCAAGTTCACCAATTGAAGCTGCCAGCTGTTGCCCTTTAGTCCAGTAGATTTTTGGTCGTCTTCTATTTATTACCATAATTGTATGATTAATAGAGACAGTGGCTTTTATCAGAAACATCCATCCGTTGCAGAGCCACAAACAGATCATTAGTTGAGATGTCAAAAATAGTAGATAGGTTCAAAAAGGAAGGCTAAAGTGCTAGCATCCCAGATGTGGGAAGATTGTCTCTCTGTGTCCCACGCCCAGGAGAAGAATCATGTGTAACTTTAAAATCATCATCTAAAAACATTAAGATAAAAACATTATCACAGCTGGGCCTGGTGGTGCACACCTGTAATCCCAGGAGCTTGGAGGCTGAGGCAGGAGAATTGAGAGTTCAAAGTCAGCATGAACAAGTTAGTGAGGCTCTAAGCAACTTATCAAGACTCTGTTTCTAGATAAAATATAAATAGGGCTGGGATGTGGCTCAGTGGTTAAATGCCCCTGGGTTCAATCCCCAGTACCAAAAAACCAAAACACAAATAACAACAACATCAAAAAACACATTATCAGCAGTTATAACTAAAATCACCCATTTAGTCCACAAGGCTAGGTAAATAATGATGCAGAATTGTATTCTGGAGTTGTTTTCAGCCCTTCTTCCTTAAGTCTTCTTTCACTGTTCCTGTGCCCATGTGTTCTGCATTTCCGTCGTAGCCAGGGTCTGTTCCCAAGGCCTTGATCTCTTGACTTCTGACATCTTGCTTTGGTTCATATCTTAAATGAGGCACTAACTGTTCCTGAAAGAATATAGTCTATGGTTTAGGCACTCAAAAAATTTCTTCATGCTTTATGAAGGTGTTCTTGTCTAAGATCCCTTTTCTCAGTATCTGTTTACTTTTCAGTAATCTAGATTTAAAAATACAATCCCTTTACCATTTTCCCCAAATAATTCATTTACCTCTGTCACCTTAATGATGATCTGAAACTCCAAGGAGGAAAGTCACACCTCGTCGGCCAGGCCTTCCATGAACGCCAAGGCTCCCAGCTTCCTTCCTCAGCTCCCAGAACAAGTGCTCTTGCTTACTCATGTGGAATATTTCTACCTTCTCTGACTTTCCCTTTCCTTATTCCAAGTGGGTTGGTTAAGGAATTTTTTTTTTCAGAACAAATACAAAACATTTCCTAAGGAACTGCTTCCTTATACTCATTTTTTGGAAGGATATGTTTCTAGAGATCAGTCTCCCTTCCTCCGAGTTTGACTCAACTCAAACATTTCCTACTTTTTGAGACTGGCTGGGCTAGAGATGATTAAAAGTCAATGGAAATAGAAACTTTCTACTTCTTTCCTTTATGGAGAAACTACTAGAAAATTGGCAGTCAATTCAAAGAAAAAATTGAGAGGAAAAAAACCCCACTTTATCAAATCTAGTCATTGAATGTAACTAGGTGCTGTGGTCTGACTGTTCAGCAGACATTGAATTGGCTGGCACCTTGATCTTGGACTTTCCAGCCTCCAGAACTATGAGAAATTTCTGTTGTCTGTAAATGACCCAGTTTATGGTATCTTGTTATAGCAGCCTGATCATACCAAGACACATGGCTATAGTTAATACTTGTAGCTTGGCGCTGATCCAAAATATTCTCTCTAGAACACAATGTGTTTATTATGTAGTTGTTCTAATTCCAGATGAGTTGCCTTAATTTCCAGTTTAGTTGAGTAATTTCAGCACTCAAAGTCATAACAGTCTAGAGCTAAAAATGATGTCTTTTTTAAAAATGGGATTAATCTTGAAGTCATCTAGACAAATGCTGTTAGTCCACAGATGAGGAAACAGGAAATATTGACTTTCCTTAGTCCATACAGCCTATCCCTGGCAGTGTGTGCATATAGCCTCCTTGTGCCATGATTCTCATACCAGTTCTTCTATTTCATGCTGCTTTTCCTTGTCCAGAGATAATAATCCTGGGTAGCAAATATTCTATTTCTCTAAATAGATATGGATATTTCTCCAATGTGAATAGATTATAATTCATACATGTTTTAAAATAGCCAAAATTAGATTGACACAGGGCATATTAAAATGTAGAACATAATAAGTGGTATATAATTAAAACAGGGTGTTTAATAACTTCACCCAACCAGTTAAATAATTCAATGGAGGATGAGGTGGAAAGTCTATCTCTGGAAAAACTTTATTGATGTTCAGCCACTTACTTACTTATGTGACCTTGGACATTTCACTTCTAAACCCAACCTACTTTTCTCACTTGCTGAAAGCGATGCCAGTAACTACCTCACAAGGGTTGGTTCTTCTTTTCAAAAATATGTATGAAAGATCTAGTCCTTCAGTATAGGATTCACTCAAAGGTTAATAGTTTTCCTCCTTCCCTCTCATTTGTTATTGCAATTTTATTTGAATTATAAGCCTAAAATTAGCTCATCTATTTCTTGGATCCCTTTTCAAAATAAAACTGATTTTGCTTTTGCCCCCCTGTGGGAACAGTAGTAAGACTTAAATATGATCTTAGAAACATAGTAACATTTTCTTCTTCTTTCCTTCTTCCTTTCCTTTTTTTCTTTTTTTTATCCTCATTTGTAACAGATCTGCCACATGATCTTGAAGAATAAGGAAAGTCAGGCGATGAATGACTATTTTCCAGAAGACAGGTAAAGCATATTTGGTAGATTAATTCTCAATTCACCTTCTCAGAGGAAAAGGACAAAACCCTCATTTACAAAGATTCTAAGGAGATTTTCAGGCAAGTTCCTCACCAGCCCCACATCAGTCTTTGCTTTGAAGTGTCCATTCCCCAGAGCTTGGTTTTCTTGATCAGGTCCCAAACCTTTTATTGAGCTACAAGAAAACTGGAGGAAACAATAGGCTCTTTCCAAAGACATTCACATGCTGGTGGCACTCAGGAGAGGGATGGCATATGTGCTTAGCAGAGAATCAATCTTTCTGTCTATCATCCTCTTTTTCTTCAAAAGAAAGAGAGTTAGTGCAATTACCTCATCAAGAACAATTACCTCACCTTAAATTGTTTATCTCCAGAGAAAGGTGATTGGGAACAGAAAGCACTTTGGCAAGAGGTGGATGTTTAAAAAGTACTTGCATCCATATTAAGCGTGGATAGTGAAGAACGGTTGGAAAGGTTGTCTTTCTAAGCCTTCTTTTCTGTTGGGACTGATAGGCAAAAGAGGGGCACATGCTCTGATCAGGTGAGTTCTGCCACCATTTTGAGGGCCACATCCTGTGAGATATATTCAGTGGTCTATGCAGCCTTGGAATTGAAACCAACTTCCTGTTTTGTTTTGTTTTTTTTCTCTGAAACTGGAGTGGCTTTCTGAAAAGAGAAGAAGCAACCCTATTGTACTTTCAGAAGCTTTTAAACAAAGATCTGACAATCTATTAAAAACAAGCCATACTTTAAAATGTCTTCCCTTGTGTAAAGGTTCAGTGTCTCTCTCCTTTCCTTGACACTTCACCAGAATGACAATTCCTGGAGCCTAGATTAAAACAAACAGAAATAGGAGTCATCCTGGATGAGGGAGATTCTAAGGTGTTTGGGAAATCCAAAGTGATTCAGGCAACAGAAAAATTAATTAAGGAAAAAAAAAATAAAAGAGGAAATGCACTCATGGTTGTAACCTCCCGGCTTTATTTGTAGGAAAATAAATGATTAGTATAGATGCAATAATTAATTTATTCCATCATTATTTTACCCCACTTGGCACCTATTATAAGTCTTTTAAATATTTTTTTTTTCCAGGAGTAATGGCTCATCTAATGTTAAACACTGGAAGAAGGAGAGGCAGGACTTTGAAAGAGCTCAAAGTTGATGAAGGAAAGGGAGGTTTCATGGAATCAGCTGACTCGGAGTTAGCTATCAAGACGCCACATCTTTCTGCGCGGTGTTAGACTCCAGGAGGCCAGGCTGCTTTGCACAACATTCTGAGGCTGGTACTCGTCTCTCCACGGCCAGGCGCCAGGCCCGCTTCCTTTCTCCCGTAACCCGGGCTATTTGCGGAGCGCGGAGGAACCTCCCTGCACTTGAAGGCGCCGCCAGCTCACCTGCGCCTCGCGGCTCCCGCCCCACGTGGCCCCCTCCGCCCCGCCCGCTGCCCCGCCCCGGCCCGGTCATTGGCTGCCGCTCTGAGAGGAGGAGAAGGGGCGGCCGCGGGGGTCTCATTAGCGATGCGGACTCCCAGCTCTGCTGTGTAGTCCGGAGCCCGGTAGCCGAGCTGCGAGCCGCGCGGCGCTCACGGCGGGTGACTCCGGCAGCGGCAGTGGCGGCTGCGGTCGCCTCGCCGTGGGAAGCTACGGGGATGCGCGTTTCCTCTGAATGTCCATTCAGCGGCGGCTCGAAGCGCGCTGCCCCGCTGCGGTAGGGAGCGGCGTTGGAGCAGTCACTCGCCAAAGACCCTCGGGACCCACTCATTTCGGCCCCTGCATCGTAGTGCCTTTACCCGACTCCAGAGGCGTGGAAGAGGAGCTGTACCCCCGGCGGGGCGAGGAACATGGGGAGAGCGTCGGCCGCAGTCAGCGGTGGAGGGGCGCGCCGGTGGCTTTCTTGGCTGGGGCTCTGCTTCTGGGCAGCAGGGGCTGCGGCTGCCCGAGGTAAGCGCTGGGCAGAGCGGGTGGCTGGGGCAGAGTGGGAAGGAGGTCAGAAGACCGAGCGGGACCTGCACCTATGGCGTTGGCTTCCTAAGTTGCGCCTTGCACCTCTCCGCGCTCGGAGCCCGACTGGGTGGGAGTCTGGGGGAGAACCTCCAAAGGGACCACGGCTTTCCAACCCAAGTTTGCTATTTGCAATCCTACAGGTTGCTGTGACCCGAGCCCCTACCTTTTACTCATCGCCTGCTCAATTTTCCAAATCCTTCCCAATTGCTGCAGGCTGGAGTAGCCCTATCTTCACTCGGTTCTCTCTCTCCTTGGTCCTCTCCGCTTCCTTCCTAGGCGAGATCATTCATGGGTGGGTGCCCACAGTGATGTCCGAGACTTCCTACCGAAAGGAGCCTGGTGGGTGGGCTCCAATATTGATGACGCCTTTTCCCTTCTGAGAACAACATCCAAGCTTTAGTTGCCTCATTCTGCGCCAAGCTTGTTACCCCTCGGACCCCCCTAACCCTGGATCTTAGCCAGCTCTGGGTTTTCCTTCACGGAGGCCGCATGTGTGCAGGAGCTGGGGAGAGTAGTGTGCACCCTCCCGGTTTAACTATGTCTGCAGTACCCAGCGAGGATAAGCAGTTGGCCAGAGGCTGCTCACCCTGCGCCTCCTCTCCCTAACCCGTGCTTACTCCAGCTAGGAAGCGCGGGCCCCACAGAGCAACGCGGAGACCTCAGCTTTTTTCCGACTTAGAAGCGTAGACCCAGTTTTTTTTTCCGCTGAATCCTCTGCACTTCTGCAGAGTGAAATTTTGCAACTGGTTTCAGTTCCACCTTGAGCGAGGACAGGAAGCATCAACTTAAAGATAAATCTCAGGGACCTGCTTTGAAGATGACCATGGGCCGTTTCATACACAGCCTCAGTAGTGTGACTTTACCTTTGAAATAATCCGGAAGCCTCTCTTTTCTGCCCTTCTTTACCTGTCTCCTTCCGTGCATGGTATCCAGTAGGTTTAGAATATGTAACTGCATTAAATGATTTACTTAACGCTTGTCTGGCAAGAGGTTGAACTGAGCTAACCGCCTCACCTTCTGCTATGCTGTCTCCTGATCATATATTAATAGCCAGGAGGCCGCGGGAAGGGGTGAGGATGATCACAAAAAGAACCAGGATCATCTCATTTTTATGAAAGCTAACGGTGTGTTAAAAGCAGCTGTACTGTCTGGAAAGAATTTTTTAAAAAGTGGATAGAGGTTTTCCGTTTTATGATCCTGTTCTGTGTGTATTTGCATTTCATTTCCTGAAAAGTTGTTGTTGTTGTTTTTAGTGGAGTAGGCTTTTTAAAAGGCAGGAAAGGTTTAAAAATGAGCCTCACTGATTCCACACACTTGGTTATGGTGAGGCATATTTCTTTCTCTTTCTGGAAGAAGCACAAGCTTCAGTCGTGTAATTTACTATGGAGAATGAGAAGATGTTTCTTGCAAAGTCAGCTCTGAATTGTTTTTAATACACTGGTATGGGGGAGAGTGTGCCTTTTATTTTTTCTCCCTAAATGTTGAGCTAAATGTCCGAGTTTCTATCTAGCCATGACTGACTCCTGGTATTTACCCTTGGAATTTGCTTGGTGGACTTTTCTTAAAGCCAGCTCCAAACAAGAGGTGGGGACATGCCAAAAGCCTCTTGGATGGAGTTTTGCTGGCTGTGAAACTAAGGCTAGCACCTCTTGTCTGCAAGCTGTTCTTTAAAGGTCTCCTGGAAAACATACTGTACACTCTGCAGGCTTATTTACAACAAATGTCTTGCACAGATCATAGTAATGTTCAAGACACATGGAATGGAGCAGTAAATCTGACTAATATTTCCCTTGTCAAATTTTACTTTCTGGGGCATGGAAGCCTATTACCTTTAGCAGCTGTCAGATTCTTCAAGAAATGAACATTAAACAGGCTGTGAAACCTGTGAAACCACATGCACCTGGCTTTAGACAGGTGGATGCAATTGAAGTTTTCACAACAAAGGATGTGTTCCAATGTTACTGAAGTTCCCCCATCCTAGGAAGGTGTGATTCATTAAAAGCAAGATGTGGTGCAATAGTGTGGTATCTTTGCTTAGTAGTCTCAACGTTTTGTGTAGGGTTGGTCCTTGATGATTTTTATTTATTCAAGTAAATAGTTTTTTGTTCTCTAGAAAAATTTTTCCCCCCGCAATGCTGGGGATCCAACCCAGAAATTTGCACATACTCGGCTAGCCCTCTACCACCGAGCTATACCCCCAGCCCCTCAAAGACTGTTCTTAGTGATTTGATCCTGGATATACTCAACATCCACAAACCAACAGGATTTATAAGATTATGACATTTTGCTTTGATGGCATGAGAAAATTTAATAATTCAGTATATTTTATTTACAGTAATCATGGAAACAGATAAGTATTGTACCAGCTCACATTTAAATTTTTTTTTCCTTCAGATTTACAGTAAAACCTGAAAATCAGTGGGAGATTTCACATAATTGGCTTTGAACATGCTCAAAAAGAAAGATACTTGGGATCAGGGACTGAGTGTGGAAAGTAGTGGTCCAAAGAGTACTACTGTTTTCTACCTTAGTGAGCAATACTTCCCTCTAGAGAGTTTTATTCTGCCTTTCGGCAAGTTGTAAGGAAAGCACTTTGGTGCCATGATTACTGTTATGTTTGAACACTTTTTATCTTAAAAGACGGTTGTTTAAAGTTCTTCGTGACCTGCCAAGTGCTAATTGAATCTATCATGTTGTCATACTGATTTGTTTTTATTCTTGAGGGAAAAAAGCATTGTTGTTGATCTGGTTGTGATTCCTACATTAGATACTGTATATAAAGACTTTAGTCACTAAAGGCAGGGAGGAAGATATCCTTGGCAAGCTGGGCGTTCACATGATTCCGAGCTTTAAAAAATTTCCTGGACAATGAAATCCTCCTTGTGCGTGATTGCTGGAGTAATGCATTAATGGCAAAGGAAGTACATACTTATTTTATAGGCATAATAGAGTCATATGACTTATACATACTTAAATCCACTTATCTATCTGGTTTCTACAATTTTAAAACTATTGCCATTTCCTCCTTAATGATTTTTAATAGCGTCCCTTTTTCTCCCTTATCTGTTCCTTTTCCTCAAGAATGTGTTCCTTCATAACACTATGTAAAGGGAGCCTTTTGGTCCAGTTTCCTCCCGGACTTGTCTTTTTCTAATTTTTGGATTGTCCCATGAACTTGAGAAGCCTATGGCACCTTCTTTGCCTGCCCCATGAAGTGTTCTGCTCAGGCGATCTCTTAAGCATCTCAGTTTTTAAGAGGAGATGAACCTTTTTCGTGAGGCACTGAAATGACAGCTCTTGTAATACTTTACAGACTTGCTCACTCTTTGAAAGACCTACCTGTGGTGCTTCAAGAAATACCGTAAAGGACTCGAAAGCCTAAGGAACCCAACAAGTCCTCCCTGCACTCTCAGGCCTCTGATTCTGTCAGTATATCTAGACCAGACTGTCTTATTAATTAGGAAGAGCAGTTTTCTGTTTGTTGCTTCAGTGATTAGTAAACTTGTGTTTTATTTTCTTCCAAATGTAGTAGAAGACACAACTAATGTTAAGAGGTTTATGAAGGGTTTAGTTTCTTGGGAGATAGTGCCTATTTGATATTCTTCCTTTTTGCTTTTTTTTTTTCTTTTAAATATTTAGGGTAGAGATCTAGGCAACATGTATTTAAGTCAAATTCAAAGCCAGTTATCCAGAGAATAATTCCATGTACACTTTAAGGAAGTGGTGGTGGATTGGGGTGTCCTCTCAATGGACAGAAATGTACATGTTCACTGAGCACCCTATTATGCCCTCCCTCTTGATTATTCCTTTGCCATTAATCCTGATTGTTCCTTACTCCATGCAGTGCCACTTGATCAGCAGTGTCATTATCTTCTCCTTTTTTGATGCTTTCATGAATTAACAGCCCAACAGGGTAACCAATAGAAACTTTCCCCATGTTCTTCTAAGTCAGGATCTAGGTAAAGATATTGTTCACCCCTTCATTTTCTAAATGGCCATGGTTGGCCTAATATAACTATTATCGTATTGCTACCACTCTTTATTTCATGTCTGTTCCTTAAAATAAGGCATTTTGCAGCTTTATTTGAATATGAAATCATAATATTGTATTTAGTTAGCACCATTCATTGTTCTAAATGCTTTACACACATCAACTCATTTAACCTGTAAGATGAGGTAGGTACAATTTTCTTTATTTATAAGATAGGAAAAGAGGGGCAAAGAGGGTTTAAATACTGCCCAAGGCCATGCAGTGAGCAAATGGTAGAGTCTGAACTTGACTTAATCAGTCTGATTCCAGAGTCCATAACAAAAGATGGTTTTCTAAACTGTTGAAAATAAGCAGACCCTTATATTTTGATGACAAAAGTACTAAAATGGTATCTTTATAACCTTCAAGAAATATAGAGGAATTTAGAGTAGCTTAAATACATCTGTAAATATATTCAGATAAATCTAAGAGATTTGTGTTGTATGAAAACAACCACCCTCTCACCATTCAGCTTAGTACACTTCGGGATTGGATTCACACTTAAAATGCTGAATGCCAGTTTCTAATATGATAGCTTGCTTTTTTTTTTCAGTTTTGAATTTCAACAGAAAATATTACTCTGAATACTCCATCCATGGAATGGCAGATCCCAAGAGACTATTTGTTGCATGTCTTGTATTTTTAGCCTTGTTTGCCGGGGAAATGTGGAGCATGAGATTTGAGAATAGATTGTTAACACCAGAGGCTGCTGTTTCTGCTGTTTTGGGTCCTCCTGCTGCTGCTTTTGCAAGGCAGATGGCTAGATTCATTTATAGAAAATAGATATTCGTTCTATTTTGCATTTTCACTTTGAAAAGAACTTTTAATTGTTTGTGCCACATTGCATCGTATGGCCTTATTGTGTGCATACACATGTGGTGCGTAGATAATTTTCAGAATTAGGCGG